AGGAAAAAGGCCGAGATTGGCGTAGTCGTTTCGAAGACGATCAAACAATGCAAAGGCCAGGTAAGAGGAAGCATCGATCATATCAAAAAGTTGATGAAGAGTTGAGATCCCTCAAGACTGATTAAACCCATTGTATTCAAACAGTCGGGTGTGATAGGTTTAACAAAGGGAGGAGCCGGCAATAATGGTCTGACGGTGGTCAAAGTAAGAAGCAGCAAGCGATGCGGTAGTCGAGTTGATTCTGAAGGACAATTTTGTGCCCCCTAATTTATCATCACCTATTCAAACAGTCTTCAGAATCATCCTCTGAGGGATCCAATCTTCACAGTTACAAGGGGCCTCGAAGCTGTAGTATACTGAAAGTTTGTGAAATGACTTTCTTCCAAAATCTTCATGGCATTTAAAATCATGTAAAACAAATTTATGTATGAATGGAGCTGATCATGTACTCCTTGTTGAAAAGCTTTTTTCTCTCTCTGAAATTGAAAACCAATTATAAATATAAGTGACCTCATGATGAAATACAAATAAATCCCATATTTTTCATCTTTTATTTTTTGTGATCCTGATCTCAGAGTTTTATGAAAAAAAGAATGGTCTTAAACTAGAAAAGCAAAAGCTGAGAATGGCTAGAGAACCATGTGAGTGATCAAACCTGATCTGTTTTCCAGCTTAATATACAGATTGGGGGAAGTTGTTGACCTTCCAATTGGCTTTCCAGAATGCAAATGACTTGAAGAAAGTTGTGTTGTGTCAGTGACTCACACCAGGACATTCTTTACACAGAAGCCAAAAATGATGGGAAAAAAATGTCATGTGAGTTGAACTTAAGATTAACTGGCATTTGATGATTTGTTCAGGATGGTTCCTGGATCAGTTTGCATTTGACTTTCCTTTTGGAGAATCTATCCAGTGCGGTCAACATTGGAGATAGACTTACCTTTCAGCCAACACCAGAAAGGTGCTGACAATGGCCAACCGTTCCAATTTTTTCCATCCTGAAATCAGACTGTTGGGAGTTCACTGCTGGGGTGCACAGGGGTTTTTTTTTTGGTCCCTACAAAAGGCCCCAAACTGCACCTGTGGTGTAGCTGATGGGTACTGACTAGTTCCAGCCATTTTTCCCAGTTTGGGTGGTGGAAGGGTCAGATGAAGTGACCTCAATTGTGGAGATTTGAGAACCAATTAGGAGTCAAAACAGCTAGGGTCAGACAGTGAAAATTCCTTCAAGTCCCCCAATGGACATTGAGAGCAACCAAGTTGAGGTTATATAATTTTTCCATCCAACCTGTGGCCTCAATTGTCTAAACCTGTATTGAATTTTCTTTGACTTTCAATGTCAGCAGGGTGATGTTACCAATTAACTGGGTCAGTAAATTACAAAACTGTGGAGAATAAAAAGGGGGTGTTGTCCTCCAGCTGTGGTTTTTGAGGTGTTGAAGATGGCTTGCAATGATCAGGTAATTTTTCCCATCTGTTATTATTTGCATCTTTTTATCTGGGCCAGGGGCACCTCCTTTGGTTGTGGTTGCACTGACCAACACAATGAACATCTTCGTTATCATTACAGTTGGAGCACTGTTGAGCCTAATGGAGGCATGTGGCTACGCACACATGTACATGTTGCCTTTCACATCTGTAGTTGAACCCACATGGAGCATCTATAAAGACTGTTTGCCTATATACATGGGCACAAACTGGTTCCACTGGGTTCTGATCTCGGCGAATACCCCAAATCAAGCTTGGGGTGGCCAGAAAGCACAGTGCCTTCTTGATAAGCATGACTATTTCAGGAAAGTGTATGAACTGATTTGGTCTTGAGGGTGATTTGAACACAGGGTGTGACTTGAATGAAGTGCTGAAACAGTGGGGAAGTTCAACCAACTAGGCTAGAAAGGCGGGGTCTGCATCATGGAAATATACTTTCTTAAACTGAAACCTGCACAAGGGAGATGTAAAGCCAGGCAAACTAATTTAATTTCAACACTTGACAAAAGTGGATTTTCTTCAAAAGAATTGGATCAACTAGCTGATTTTGCCTTACTCTCCTTCCAAGATGATTGCAGGTCTCTTTTTACTAAATTTATGCTGTTTAATGCAGCAAGGATAAAAGGCCTTTGATTTTAATGATTTTTGAGAAGTATTTTTAAAAATTACAATTTTGTTTGTATCCACATCAACTCCTTAACAGATTGCCCAAACCAAACAAGGTATAAAAGGTTACTTGTGATTAGGAAACTGGAAAAGCAAAATGATCATCAATGGAAACACAAGTGAATTATTCAGCTCAACAAATGTGAATGGAAACTCTGTATATTTTAGGAATATGAACCTTCCCCAAGAAATTCTGTATTTTGTGTTGCATCTGATACATAGAAACTGGAGTTTTGATAAATTGACCAAAGACGACAAAAGCTGTTAATTCAAAACAACTTAGACTATTTCATTCCAATGAATTTTTCTCTAAAATATGCAAACCAAGTGGTTCATTTCATGATTTGAAAGTCTGTGGTGGTGATTGCAAACTGAATTGCCCATCCAATTCATTAATATGATGTCCCCAAATCACAAAATGGAAGGAGGAGAAGCAGTGATCATCAGAAACGGAGTGGATGAGTAAACTCATGAGATAAGGAGTTGAGTCTCAAAGGCCAATTGGACCTTACTCTGCACTTTTTTTTGGTGAATGCCAATCAGGAACTCAAAGGGAGTGCTAAATACTTCCCAGCTGTTTCAGTCTAGATAGATAACAGCTGGGCGTTGATAAACACACTCCCTCCCCCTCCCCGCACGCCCACGCCCACGCCCCTTGGAAGCGTGTTTTTTGAAAAAAAAACACGCTTCCGAGGGGCGTGCAGAAGAACCCGCCCCTCCTGCGGGTGGGCTTGCATGCCAGCCAAGAACCAAGATAGCTTGGTTCTTGGATGGATTTGAATCCAGCCCATCGGGAGGGTTTCCTCCCGATGAGCTGGTCAGCTAAGGCAGCGACGGCGACGGCGGCCTCGTTCCAACTATTCTGTTGGCTCATCGAAGCACTATCGTCGATCAAGAGCACAGTATCATATCTGGCCAAGATAACTAATTTGTCTTCGCCGGAAGAAGGATTGGTACACAAGAGCGGAGAGGCTGGGGTTTGGTTGAGAGGGCTATTTAAGGCCAAGGCTTCCCCCGATCCTATGACCCAAACGTCCCAGTCTTTGATGCTGACTGAGTTGTGGGCCGTTTGAGATGGTGTGTCGAGGATTGGGTGATCTGTTGGGATGGATCAATAAGGATTGCAAGCTGCTGAGAGTTCGTCTAAAAGAGCTGGGCTCGTTTGGGTTGGTTAATGGATGCCGTTGTTGCTGTTGTTGTTGTTGGTTATATCTTCCTTGGAGGATTGGATGGAATGAATAACGACGACGCTCAGCAAATTGTGGGTCGACCACACTGTAATCTGGCGGAGGGGCATGCATTCTGTCCTGGTCAATGATCTCTCGATATATTATTCTATTATTAGGGGATCTTGTATCCCTAGTGGTTGATGTGAAAGTGTGGTTCTTGGTCAAGTCTGTCTGTTGGCCATCCCACTTCGGAACTTCCCTAAGCCTGGTCTGATGAGCTTATATCTTTCCAGCGGGGCGCTCCCCCCGTGCAGTGGTGACCGGGTCACCAACCAGCTTTGTAAATGCTGTGATCGGCTTCCCCCCATCTAGTTGACCTCCGCCCCAATCTCTACAAATTCATTGCACAGCCACGGCCCATCGCTGAGTTTTCCTTGCCTCCTCCCGCGGGCCTCGTCTCAACCCCCTCTTCACATCTTTCATTGATTCCGCGCCACAAATGGGAAAATACTGCCTCTTATCTCGGATCAAGGCTGGAAAACCTGAGCAGGATCTGGCACGATGTTAGGTAGTCTCACGACTCTAACTCTCCAGACACAGTTCTTGGATACTTAGCTTGTAGTCCAACTATCTATGTAGATTGGTCCAACTATCTATAATGTTACATACATAGTAAGAACATGGGATTACGTGAGCAAAACATCCTAGGATGTTTTGCTCATGTAATCATGCCCGCTAGTCAAGAACCAAGCTATCTTGGTTCTTGGCTGGCATGCAAGCCCACCCGCCCCTCCAGGAGGGGCGGGTTCTTCTGCACGCCCCTCGGAAGCGTGTTTTTTTTCAAAAAACACGCTCCGAGGGGGTGAAACAAACCCGCCCCTCTGGCCTCCAGGAGGGGCGGGTTCAATTGCACGCCCCTTTCCGAGGGGCGTGGGCGTGGGCGTGCGGGGAGGGGGAGGGAGTGCGTTTATCAACGCCCATAACAGCTAGATCTGTTTGTGAGGGGACATTCACTGCTTCAAGTTGTTTATCTCTTGGGATTCAGTTGCGATGCTCAAATATTAAACATCATGATAAGATTAAAGATTATTAAATTGATATCATATGATTAAAATTTACATTGCTTATAGAATTGGATGGGTAAAAAGTGGTCATCTTCGAATAAAAAGGTTGATTAATCATTGTCTCCCCCGAGGAACCAGAAGACGTGCCCTGCAGACAGGGCATGTCATATTTTCAAGTAGCCAGGCCTGAGGTGACAAAAAAAAAGAGAAGAATTGGCTTAACGTGCTTTTTGATGAGTCAATGGAGGAAGGAGAAAAGGCTTACTTCGATGCAGTTCCGGTGGAAGTGATGGGTAGGATGGCATGGGAGGACAATAATGAAATCATCAAGTGTGTAGTCAACCAGGCAAACTAAGCACTGAGAAGCCTCACTGCCAGGGTTTTCAGACACAAATGACAAAACATCCGCCCTACCAAGACGGTCCAGCAAGTCTGTCAATGCGAGTTGTCTGAGTAGAGGGTTGTTTGATTGGAGGTACAAGTCAGATCGGTCGTCCAAGAGATTCTGACGGAATGTACTGAAGCGATGAGGATCTAAAGCCATCAATTGCTGGACGGCGAGAGCCATATCTTGTCTCATTTGTTGGCTGGAGGGGTGGAAGTTATGTGTGTTTCAAAGGTTAGGCCCGTCTCGGATCAGAGAAAAGGCATTGTCGAGGTTGCGATAGACTCGGGTGATGAGTTTCTGTTCTCGGCGAGAGAGACGGTCGATGAGGTCCTCAATGGGCACCAATATTGAGAGGTAGCGGTACCTTGGGGGTGATCTAGGTCTGGAGGCAGCCCTCAGCAAGGATATCTGCTGGAACTGCTCAAGTAAGCGGGCTTGTTGCACCAGGCGGCTTGGTAGCTGTAGGGGGCGCACTTCGGCAGGGCCTGTGCCAGAACCACCCGGTCCAGAAGCGATCTCACCTCGCTCGGCGGGGTAGATTTCCCGGTGAGTTCCCTCAGATCGCTGTTGTGGCAGCACCGCTTCTGGAGCAGGGCCGCTGGGGTCATCTTCTCGGGGAAGATTTTCATGCGAGTCGTTGGGATTTGATTGGTGAGACATTATTGCGTTTGGGGTTGTTTACTTTTCTTAGAAGGGCTGTTTGAAGAGTTGAAGGCAGGTAAGTGGGGCTGTTTTGAGTACCCTGGCCTGGTCGGAGATTGTAATGGCAGAGAGCCATCATTGCGAAATGATTGGGTGATTTATACACTCCTTCTCCCTAAGGCTGAGCTGCATGAGCAGCAGTAAGGCTAATTACCAGCCCTCGTGCATTTGACGCGTCCGTATGGAAAAAAGGCTCAGCTCGACGACTCTTCATCTTGCCGTAGATAGAGAACTATTCGTTTATAAATTTGCACCCTTTCATCGCCCGAAAAACTCTCCAATTGGTTTACATTTTGAATTAGATGCATTTCTTCGCTTCTCAACATAGCTTTTCAATTGTTAACTTTCCTTCATCTGATTTTTGAGCAGCTTTTGTACTAGAAAAACCTAGAGAAAAAATTTTGACTATTGGTGTTCTGGCTAAAATTCAGCATACGACTCTACACCCGTCATAATAAAACTGAAGGATTCTTTCCTCAAATAGCTTCTGAGAGCAGCTGGCACGCCGAGTGCGACGTTGCACCTTCTACGAACAGCTACACCACAGGACTATTCTGATGTCCGATGGACACTCGTCTGGACATCATCTGAGGTGTCCAGAACTTGCAGGGCAGAGAGTGTCCATTGGACACTACTCTGCCTGACAGTTTGCGGACGGTTTCTGGAAAACTGTCCACTGGATAGTTTTCAAGCCGTCCAATGGATGATTTTGATTGCAGTGAAAAGAAAAAAAAAGAAGTGAGGAGAGTGAGAGTTGAACCCAAGACCTCATGGACACAACATGTCACACCCACCAGGCTTCTCCTTGCCACCTGTCACTACGGGCAATTAGGTGACGCTCCCGCGCGGAACGTCACCTAACCCAAGGGGGGCCCCTTTGGGTTAGGTGACGCTGCGGGGCGCAGCGTCACCTGTTTGCCTGTAGTGTGTACTATGAAGAATTGTTCTTGCAGGTGTCACCAAATCCACATACATAGACCAAATTTGCACTTTGGAGCAAGCAATTTCACACCTCTTTTGATGATCAAGTGCATTTTTGGAGCTTTTTTTTGACAATCACTACACCTGCACTTTTGGAGCGTTTTTCGACAATCGACCACACTTTTGGAGTGTTTTTCGACCATTGACCGCATTTTCAGAGTGTTTTTTCGACCATCGACCGAACTTTTGAAGCTTTTTTCGACCATCGACCACCGGCTCCAATCAGGAATTGTAACTCAAAGTGTCCAATGGACACACTGAAAACCGTCATCCATCGGACACTCTTGGTTGGAGAGTGTCCGATGGACGATAGATCATAGCGTCCATCGGACGCTTCATATTTGGCCAGCGTCACTTGGATGCTTTTGGAAGCATCCAAGTGATGCTGGCTCGCCAGAGCGTCCCTTGGACGCTCTGATCGCATCCGTTGGACGCTCTCCTCGAGAAAGCGTCCAGCGGATGGGGCAAGTTTCAAAAAACTCGCCCCGTGGTGTAGGTTGCCTGTTGCACTTCAGCCTGGCGGCCGGGGCAGGATTTCAGAATAAAATTGTGGACGCGAAAAAAATGCAAGCAAACAAAAAGATAGAGGGACCGCAAAATCCTCAGGATGGTTACTGAATAGATGATGATGAAAGCTCTTGGCAATTCCACAAAAATGTGCACTTTTTTTTGACGTGAATGTCCAGTTGCAAGCCTGCCGCATGCCGCCCCCGGTCCCCCCGTTTGTATTAGGGGCTATGTCAGTCCCCGAACGCTTCAGCGTGTTGAGTTCCATTCGGGGAGTCGGGTGTCCACACAACTTAACCTTGATTAAATCATCCACTTTTCACTTCGCGGTCATCATCAGCCTCTTGGTGATCTCAACCGGAACCTGGTCCGCGAAAAACAGTATGTTTTTTTCTCATAAGGTTGAAGCTTCGAGATCCTGACCAAAAAACCTATTTGTAGGATCAGTGTTGTTCACCAGGACATGCGCCTAGTCAACTTGACTCGACAAAACCACTGCCAGAACATTTTTGAGGATGTCCGAACATGAACATCTCTTACCGATCCTCTCTGATACCAAATTCCTAAACTGGCAATACCGGATTGTTGCCCATTGCATGATCGAGAACCTTCGTGATCATCTTCTCTCCGACCTCGTTGCCGCAGAATCAGACATCGAATTAAGAGCTAGTCTATTAGAAAAGAAAAATTCGACTGCTGAAATTCTCGTGAAATATATGGGCGCCGAGAACGTTGCAAGGTTCATCACTGACGAAAATCGATCTCAGCCACATCTGATATGGGAGCTACTCTGCGAACATTATCAATCCAAGTCCCTGCGAAATAAAGTGAAGGTATATCGAGAATTCCTTGACATCCGTTTTTCGACCTTAGACCAATTCATCAACGACATCAATTACGGTATCGCAAGTCTTGTCTCAGTCGGAATAACCATTGGACCTTTAGAAGGCGAGAAAATTGATGTCAGCGAAGAACTGATGGCGGGATTAATAGTCGATCGTCTTCCAGCGCAACTAGAAATGACGAAGGAAATTCTATTCAACACGCGTCCGCTGACGATCGAGATTGTGAAAGCACACTTGGGCGCGAGGCGGTTCGATAAATTTGACTCTTTGGTCAGCGACACCTCTTCCAAACCCAAATCCGTCTGCAAGAAAGCTCCAGTCGCATACTGTCAAAACGGCGTCCATAATAAAAACACTCGGCATTCCAAGTCCAAATGCTTCCAACTCCATCCGGAATTGGCTCCAGATCCGCCCAAGAAACGGAAGGCGAAGAAGAAGCAAGAAGATCTTCCCACGGAAACCCAGACTCGGACGGAGAGTGTGCCAATCGGGGGAGCCTTTGTTGCTATTTCTGGGCGAGCAGAAGAAATAGCAAAACACAAAGATTGCATCATTCTAAACAGCTGCTCTCCCCATCATATGTTTCCTGATCGCCGATATTTCACCAACTATCGCCCGTCGATATCAGAGGTCAAAACGATTGATGGGCGATCCTTGACGGTCGAAGGAACCGGATTCATCAACCTGCAGAACACCGATGAAGTTTCACGCTCCTTTAAAGCCCTCCACGTGCCAACTTTGAAATACCCGTTGATCAGTCTTGGTCGTTTATTCTCCAAAGGCTGTGATTTCATTCGTGGAGAAGCTCATCAGATGGTTATACACGATCCAAAGAAAGATGTCAAAGTCTTTGACGTTGAAATCTCTTCTAGAAATATTTGTGTCGTCAAAGCAACTCTAGTCCAACCTTAAGGTGAGCATTTTCCTTCCCAATCTTCCTACAAGTCATTCAGACTGATCTCATTCTCATCCTTAGGAAAATGGGTTCTCCGATTCAAAAAAAGTGCTTATAAAAACACTTGGAGCAGCTGTCTTGGCATTAAATTGTACACTGTCTAACCTTTCTAAATCTGCCCCACTTGCTTTCCCCAATTGTCCTCTAAAATCCTCAAAGAAGTTCTAGACTTTGATTTTCAAGGACTCGATTCAGAAAAATCTCCACTGTGGAGAACCAATTTCTCATACTTTGATTCAAATGTTTCAAGACTTGAAAAGCTACTTGCATTGGACGTGTGATTTGAAGAAAAAGGCGAGGGTGGCCCCCTCTTGATAAATGACAAGGAAAGAGGCTTATTTTTGACCAAGCAAGATTGGATCTTTTGCACTGCGATCAAAAGAACAAGTAGGAATGGAAACAACCTAATAGCAGAACTCCAGCTTGATTCCAGAGTTCGGGTTATTAGCTTCTTGGATTTGGTACATCCCATCGTTTCCATCCTGGTGGAAAGCTGTTGGACAGTTTGCATGTTGGCAGGATTTCGATTGGCCATTGGTGAGCGTTATACGCAGCGAGTGGTTGTCTGAATACCGGCGAGCGACAAGAGGAAGAAGAAAGAAAAAAGCAAGAACCGAGTGATCAGGTTTCAAAAAGTTCAATGACGCCTGTGATGATTGAGGATCAGGTCTGGCAACGCAAGACTCGCTTACATCGGTGAGGTGGAATCAAAGTGATATCGGCCGAGCTGATGCCTGAGACGAGCGCAAACTCAGCAGCAGTGCACGGCACTCCATTGGTATCACAATTATTCCCGACGGATGCGATTACTCTGGGGGGGTAGCATTGTTGATCAGTGAGGAGATGGAAATCAATTAGTTCAACTTGCGCATCCGAAAAAATCGGCTTAAGGTTGATTCAAAAGCGAGGGAATTGAAGCTAGGTACCCTCTGAGGTCCCCGCCATATGTCCAACTTCCACCTCCGTTAGAGCTCACCGACCCATGGCCGGGAATCTGCATCGAGAACCTTTCTCGACAGTGGTTGACTACATCGATCTTGTGGGCAGCCCAAGTAGTGCTGGCGCCAAGAATTACTAGAAGGACCGCTGAGAGGAGCATTGTTTCTTGGAGGTCGATTTCTTCAGATTTGAGTGACTTTCAATTCAAACAGTCAACAAATTTTTCAAGCTCGTCGAGGATGGGTGAAGTGGATAAATAACAAAACCCTTTGACCTTCTGAAGCTTTTAAGGAGACGAACATGCTCGTAGAGAATCAGCATAGTCTTCCATGAAAGGATGCCACCAACGGAGCTCATCCTCCCTCCCGCCAGGCCCATCAAATTGAGTAGATGTAAATCAGAGGAAAGCACTGTGGAAGTACTCACCCAGCACCCCCTGCACCATTTCGATCAATTTGATGCACCTTCTTGGTTTCTCTTTGGATGACTTCGATCATTTTTACCTTCAAAAAACTATCAGAAAACCCTTGAAAGGCGGGCCCCTTTCAGGAACAGTTATGCACCGATGATTAAAATGGCAAAAAATAACAATCACTGTTTGCTCTCGATGGACACGCCCCATAGATGACATGTGGAACTCCTTCATATTGGGCATTTTTATGCTTCTCAGTGGGACCTGTAGTTCAAGGAATCCCCAAAAAATTGCTTGTCAATGTTTTGTTCACCCTACTTCATGCACAGAAGATAGCAAGTCTCCAATTACCTTATCCAACTCGCTATGTGTTCCATTAATGTCAACGCGGTTGAACCAGAAATTAGATGATTGGATTTTATTTTCCCTTCCTGGATGGAGTTGGTGAATTTTTTTCAATGGTTTATATTTGGAGAAATTCCTTGTGGGTGAGTAGGAACCGGCACTTAGGAAAGCTTGGCAAGGGGATTGGAGATACCATGTTATATTCGATATTGCGCTAAATAAAAACTAGAGGCCTCTTCAATCTTGCCCAATTGGACTCGGAGCCCTGGCCGGTGGGACACCGCTGAGCCTAAGATGGAAGATAAGCTTCAACCTACACGATATTTACTTGAACGTGCCGCAATCTTCATTCTGCTGTGTTATTGAATGGTGCATCATGTCAAGTTATACACAACGCTGGGTGCAGGCTGGATTTCCGGGCAATTTGTAGAAACACTTTTGCAGCACTGTAAGGAGAGCAGGATCAATGAGGAGGATGGTGCTAATTAGGAGAGGGAGGCCGTCGGTATGATATATCCAATCGTTGATCTGAAGAAACAACGTATACATAACTTTGTCTTGGTTGATTTTCAACACCACGTTGGGACCAGGACCTCGTGCATGTCATATGTATGCAACTTTTTAGTTACCCAGCAGCTGAAGCTAGCTGAAGGCCACATCTCAGCCGCATGGGTATCATAGCAAAACTTCCTCATTCGCAGGAAAACCTAAGCTGGGCATCGACCCACTCACATCTGATGTGTATAGCTATTGCAGTACAATAAAGAAGCACACATAAAACGTTGGCGAAGAGGAGCTTTGCCCTCTCATCAACCAAAGAGCCGACTTCCTGGATCGAAAAACCCCTCAACCAATTCTCCCAAGGAAGGCTGATAGCGGATTGTCGAGCCAGAACTTGATTGATTCTTTTAGAGAAAAAAAACTAAGAGCCCCAAGATGTTCAAGTCGATAGTGATCGTTGCTTTCATTAGTAGCTTATTCATGTCGTCCGCCGTGGATGGTTACACGCTTCATTTCAAGAACAACTGCAAGTTCCCGGTATGGCCAGCGGTAGGAAAAGCCCCAAATGGGCAACCCGACCCGTCGGTCTCCTACGGCACGAAGCTCAATCCGGGAGGCGAAAGCCAATTCAACGTGAACGACCGGGAGATCGGAAGTGAGCAGAAGTAACGAATCTGAGAATTTACTATTTGACATGTTCTGTTGACCATGCCTATACTATGCGCTCATTATTATCAGTCCGCTCGTGGGGACGCACAGGGTGTGATGCGAATGGTGCCAACTGTGCCACTGGAGGTGGGTGCTCTTTCTTCAACGACCGTAAAGATACGCACAAAAACCATCTTCAACATCTGATCCGTTGGCAATGTTTCGTTACTTACCTTATCCAGCCTGTCGAGGTGGGCTTCGTTGTAACGATGGCGGGATCACCTCGAAGGTGTTGCTTGGCGAATATGGATATCAATCCTTTGGCAATGTGATCTCCTGGGACCTTTCTCGGGTCGATGGTTCCATCAACAGTTTGGTGTCCTCCATAAGCTTATCCATCCTTCAGTTTACCGCACATCTTGTGATCCTAACAACTGTGTTTTTTTTTCATGGAAAAAAACATGCAGTCGATACTTCAATCAGCAATGATAGAAACGTCAAAACCTGTAGGAAAAATAACTGTCCAACTGACCAGGCTTTCGCTCAACCAAACGATTTCCAAGCGGTCACCACCAGTCCGGTGGGTTCGACGTTCAGAACCACGTTTTGTGCTTGATGTGAAGATAGCCCATAGCTCGAATACTCCACCGCTTTTCCCACTTTAAATCTGAAGCTGTTGGCACCTGACCAAATGAATTCTAAGATGTATCGAGAGTTTGTATTCACTAACTCAAAAAAAAAATTCTTGACAATGTGAAATGATTGCAATTATCTGGAAGATTTGGTTAAATTTCTAAACACAACAAGAAGATCTGCTCTCTATTCAGTGGCCATACCTGTAAAGAAACAGTGCACATCATAAAATCACAAAATTTCAAACCAGGGGATGTTTTCAAAGCTTACTGACGACAAAGGAGCTTTGATCTTTGAATTGACTTGAGGGCTGATGATCAAATCTTCTTTGATGAGGAAGGTGGCTCAAGTATTCTGCAAGAATTGAAATTGTTTAGTTTCTACTGATGAAAGGTCCAGTTGAACATGTTCAGAACCAGGCAAAAACAAGGATTGATAGAGGAAAGTGAAAAGGAATCGTAAGATTCTAACAAAAAGGACTTGAGCGGAGACTGCAAGTCTATTCTTGATTGAACCACAATTACATTTTCTCAAGCTCTGGAAACAGGCATTAATATCAAACGCACTAGTAACAGAATTCGAGTTTGATCCCCGAGTTGGGGTTATTAGATTCTTGGATTTGGTAAAGCCCGTCGTTTCCGTCCTGGTGGAAAGCGCCTGGACAGCCGGCGCTGTTGCAGGCTTTTGATTTACCGTTGGTAAGCGTGATACGCAAGGAGTGGTTGTCTAGATGGAAAGCCAAGCAGGCAGACAAATGCAAAAGAAAGGCGAGTGTTGTGAGTATCCTGGAAATTGGAGATTACGCTTGGGCTATAATTGAAGACTCAGGTCCGCTTACATCGGTGGGGTGGAATCAGAGTAATGTCGGCAGAGGTTATGCCTGAGACGAGCGAGAACTCGGCGGCGGTGCACGGGACACCATTGACATCGCAATTGTTCCCGACGGACGCAATGACACTGAAAGATAAATAAAAAAAATCCGGTCGCATTGGAAAACGAGACTGGTTAAACCCTATTTGTGCAATGAGCTCATGGTAATGAAAGACGAGAAGAAAGGAGAAGAATACCCTCTGACGTCTCCATTGTAAGACCAACTCCCTCCTCCCCCAGAGCTCACTATCCCTCGACCAGGAACCTGCATGGTGAACTTCTGCTGGCATTTGTTGATCACAGTGACTTTGTGAGCAGCCATGGTGGTGCTGGCACTAAGAGCAGCAAGTAGAAGAACTAAAAGAAACATCTCTTGACGTTTGATTTCTTAATTTTCCAGATATTTCACTGTAACTGATATAAGTAAATAAATAAATAACTAGTCGGAGTGGATGTCGAGAAGTTATATTAATCCAGGCAGCGTCTCAAGCTGAATATAAATAGAAGACAGTCAACAGGCATTGTGAGTCTTGTATGACTGGATGCCAACCATCGGCCAAGAAAGAAGGTGTTTTGACCAGGCTCATCACTTCAGAGCCATTAGCGTCTCACTCACACAGCACTTTTCCCGGTCTTCCGTCCAGTTCTCCTTACCTTCAAGCTCACCAGCAGGAACTCCTTGTATCGTAATGAGTTCTCATTCCAATCAATGATATGAATGGCCGAGTAAGCTAGCTTATGCTCCGTTCTCAACATTGCCGCTTTCACGAGGCCTCAAAGTTCCTTCGACCTCAGCTGTTTCCCACCGAGATTTTTTTTTTTTTTTGCTTCCTTTCATAAGCCGCATGATTGATTTCCAGGCAATTGCTTCTTAATTCGATCGTTTATAGATTTTACTATAGGGGGACCCTTAGGAGAGCCTGCCGGAGGAACGATTGGCAGTGCCTTGTTTTCCCTCAAGTTGAACGTAAAAGCAGCTGACAAGATCCAACTCAATTTATTGGCGACTTGTTTGGAGGACATCCGGTAAGGTTAGGACGATTAGACCAGGCTTACGTGGCGCGAGGCTTTTCCCCAGTCGTGTGATCGAACTGGACATGGATTGGGCCACAATAATCAAAGGGCAGCAATGTCCAATGATCCTGCCTCATGGCCCCCCACTCAACAAATAATTTCAGGTAACACCTACTTTCATAAGTGCCGGCTGGATTTCCGGGAAGCTTGGTTGCATTGATTTCACTACCCAGGGAGAGGTGCAGGTGGGATACGGCCCTCTTGGAGAAACGTTCTCCTCTTGCTATTTAAGAAAGACGGGTAAGCAGCGCCACTAGCTGAGAGGCCTGATCCCATCAAGGATTAAAGAGCTTCCCTGAGTCCTACATATATGCTACTTTTCAGAGGGTAACTGATCAAAGGCTAACCAAATTGTGACTTGAAAGTTTGAGTCAATCGAGTCTCGACCCTCTCTAGTGATCAAGAATACATCTATTCCTATCGGAAGTTATCAATATTCACAAGATGTTAAAGGCAATAGTGATTATCGCTTTACTCAGTAGCTCCATACTGGCTGTTGTCGTCAATGGTTATACGCTCCACTTCAAGAACAATTGCAAGTTCCCGGTATGGCCAGCGGTAGGGAAAGCGCCCAACGGACAACCAGACCCGTCGGTCTCGTACGGCACCAAGCTCAACCCAGGCGGAGAAAGCCAGTTTGGCGTGAATGACCGGGAGATCGGAAGTGAGTGGTCTCCACACAAGCCCTGCCGACCCGTCGTCCGCTTTTGAGCTTCTTTCACTTATCATGTCTCATCCACACCAAGTCCGCTCATGGGGACGCACAGGATGTGATCCCAAGGGCGCTAATTGTGCAACTGGAGGCAAGTCCTTCTTCCTGACTCTCTTCAACCCTATTCACAAGGAATAATTCTTATTTGTATGTGTTTTCTCCTATTATTGATTGCATAAGCCTGTCGAGGTGGACTTCGTTGTAACGATGGCGGGATCACTTCGAGGGTGTTGCTTGGTGAATACGGCTACCAATCCTTTGGTAATGTGATCTCGTGGGACTTATCTCGGGTCGATGGTTCAATCAACAGTTTAGTGTCTTTCTTCCATGAGAGTCGAGACCCAACCCCCCCACCAATAATTTTGTCTTACTAACTACATATATCATCACCCTCCTTGGTATTGCTTCACATTTCTCAATCATATCAATGCTTTTTTTTGTTTGCTTGGAACCCATGTATGTATGTATGTAGTCGATACATCCATCAATAACGGAGGAAACGCCAAGACTTGTAGGAAGAATAACTGTCCATCGAACCAGGCTTTTGCCAAACCAAACGATTTCCAAGCGATCACCACCAGCCCGGTAGGTTCAACTTTCAGGATCACGTTTTGTGCTTGATTATAGAAAGCCCAAACTTCTCTATCCATGTTCTCTTTCCCCCTTTCATTGTATCCAAGACCCGTGTTCGTCTATCTTACCCGCTAGACAGGCCAGAAAGATGATCGTGGAGGTAGACCTAGGGCCTCCTAACGTGAGCGTCATGAGCAGGCGTGAGGTGGTAAATGAAATAACTCAGAGGCGTGGGTCTCAATGGGACTTTTGCGCGTAAATTTGGGGAGTTTATCAGCACAGAAAGTATGGGCTATCAAGACATCATGTCTCGCATATGCCTGATTCTCAAGAAAAAGGCACGGAGAAAGTAGGATAAAAGTTTGAATATAATATACGTGTATTCATATACCGCAATCAATCATTTGGATGTAAAAATGACATGTACAAAGTAACAGGGTTTTAAAGATAACAAGAAAACAATACATAACAGATGAGCTAGGTAAACACTTTACAAACATTTTTTTCTTTCTTTTTGTAACACATTTGATATTGAGAGGTTTAGTAGTGGAGCAATGGGAGAGAAAAGAGATAAAAACTGCTTTGTGTTGGTTTGAGGTAAGAGAGATAAGAGAAGAAGAAACAAAAACTGCTTTTATAAGGTCGGCATGAAAGCTGAGTTTGAACACAAGTCGAGGACATAATAAGCAAAAGTACAGATTTCTTCGGTTAAGCGATCAAAGGTGCACGTTCGGAATCTGTAAGACGAATCCTACCTCCCCTGAACGAAGAGTAGAATGCCTAAAGAAACGAAGAGAAGAAGTAGGAAAACGTCAAAGAAAAAAGACTTGCCAATTCATGGTCGAAGAGATTGATAAAGCTTACTTTGATGATCGCTAGGAGGGTAGCGATAAAGGCTGCAAAGGCAACCCAATGGATACTCTCGGGATCAGTTTGACGAGTGAAGACGCCAACAAGCTCGATTGCGATGACGATTGCGCCGGCTACGTCTCCTTGATCACTGTGTATAGTATAACCGACCCCGGTACTACCCACACCAGCACAAAATTAGCCAATGATTATGAGAAGGCAAGGAGGAGGGTCTACTAACGAGGCAAGTAACAAGAGGGCGATGATGACGAGTGCTTGGGTGATCGGACCGGCCTTATGATCAGCCCTATCGACCCCAAAGGCAGTGAATGCACTCAAGACGAGCAGGAAGACCAGGTAAGCATGTAGTAAGCTGAACGGTAAATGGACCAGGATCAGTTCCGTCTTCGATCGCAGACTCGAGGCTACCAGGTCCCAATACACATGCGAAACTACTGAGGCAACGATCAATGAGAAAATGAAGGCTAGGATGTAATGGTGGCCCGCGGATAACTAATCGGTTGTTGGAAAGGTTTCAGGAATTAGACATGTCATATATAATGATCTTGACTTCTTTTTTTTTCGCTTTCGTTTTTTTTCTTTTGTGCGGGGAGTGGATGAACGTACATGGATCCAAATCGATTGTAATACTCCGATCGCTGCAAACCGCCATCCAATCACATCGATCGAAGCTTTAGTCCCAGCTTCAAGGAACTGGAAAACCACGAAGCCAAGGAACAAGAACTACAAAGAAGAGATGATCCCAATATATACTGTCAGATATTGCCATCCAAGGAATGTCTAGAATGAAGCCATATTTGTGGATCAGGAGGCCTCCATCGCAGACCAAAGACTCACATTGATGACCGTCCAAATCCAAAAGGTTTCTGGAGCTGGTGTGATGTATCTGTGAAGAATGATAGATAAACGAAATTAGTATATGGTGAGGATAAGATGAAATGTGAGATCGAACTTACGTCTCCTTTTGAGAATAGTAGCCGGTGGATGGACCACCCAGGGAGCTATAAACATTCGAGCCGAAGAAGAAGATGAACACGATCACATTGAGGATCTGTTCCCCCCCAGAAAAAATACCGCGAATCAAAAGGACGAAGAAATCAGCCCATCTTGGTCCCATTAATAAGTACGAGTCTTTGGTACTCTAAATATGGGTGGGGAGAAGGTATGGCGAGTATCGGTGTGATCAGACGAACCTTGATGGCCAACGCATGATTGGAATCTGAGTTCTGTGTTTTTTTTGGGTGAGTGAGTGGGTGAGATCACAGGAATTAAGCATCGGTCAAAAAAGGAGACATTATACGTCAATAATTTATTATCATAGGACTGATTTCAGATTGTCGGAGAGTTTGTGATGTCTACATGTTTATCAGGATTAATGTTGACGGAAAGAAACGGATATGTAGGAGGAGACTGACCAAAGCCATCGTTAAAAAACAGTCGATCACGCACTTATAAAAGCAGACTGCCTGGATAGCTCGATATATATCTACAACTAGCCGTTCGACCTTTTTTTTTTTTTGGAAAGAGTATATAGGAACCACTAAGTTGTAGCCAGGGGGGATGGGGAGGGTAAAGGGGGAGTCAAAGTAAGTCAGGTTCCACTTGATGTGTTGGCAGAGAGAGTGCCGGAACAAAAGGGGACATACATTCTGAAGATCAATTCCGCAATGTTTTGGTTCGTCCAGATGGATTCCTGGCTGGTTTTGGGAGAAATGTGAAGGAAACCTTTGTGGTACCACTGCATACAAGGAGGCGATGCCAATTACACTGCCTTCTAAAAACAAGAGCACTCGTCAGCTGTGCCGCAGTACAATCCTCAATTCCACTATTTCTGAACTGCAAGTCAGTCAGTCATTCATGATTGTCTTATTCTCTACAAATTCTCAGGGCCTCCCAAGGCCTACACTTGCGCTCTAAGCTAATTGCTCTTTCTTTGAAGATGCCACTGTGTTGGTTGTTGGATGCTTCAAACAATTCCGAAGAAACAACATGATCCCGCTTCCTTGGTTTACCTGGCCAAAGCAGTTCCCTTGTTGAAGCACCAATTGCAAACAATTCAGTCCCAGATGAGAAGGTTGAAGTCTGAAGATCTGATACCAATTTGACCGATATTGAAATAAAAAAAATGGGCCTGGACTCTCCAAGATTTCCTTGTGACCTAAGTATCTATCCTGGGACCTTAATTGAATGTAACTCAAGCTTGCGAGAGGGGACCAAGGCAAGTCGGGGCCCCACATACTGGGAAGTGGCCTATCTTACAATCACAACAAGTTGATTCATAAATTATCAAACTTTTCCTATACTCTAGTATTAGAGTTGAAACCCTATCCTTTTCTTTTTGAGATGGCCATTGATATTCCATAAAAAAAGCTTACTTGTAACTTGCTGGACATTACAAATAGCAGTATACATGGGTACTTTTCAGACTGCAAACAATTGAAGATCCTATGTTTTTGAGACAGTGCCTTTTGGCAAACCTTCTGTAACAATTTTCATGTGTCTATTTCTTTGCTATGTGTTGCTGAGGCTACTGGGAATGGGATCCTAGATGTAAATATAAGTATACACATGGAAGAGTTTATCAAAAAATCATCCGTCATGAATGCTAACCAGCACATAACCTGGCCTGCTATCCACTGACTGTCAGTTCACCAAGTGCATGTAAACAAAACAGTCCATGAGAGTTTTTCCGCAAAGCCAACAACAAAATGTTGAGTCTTTGCCCAGGTAAGTATAAAAGTGACTATTGCTCGGTCAGTATTCCTTGGTACCGTTCTGGAGTGTTTGTCGCGTCCAAAGTACCGAACGAGGAACAAGATCGAGCGGCTGATCAATATACCGCGTCTGACTCGTGTCTTCGTCGAGCGTCGATGATACGCGCAGTGTGTGGTTACTGATCAGAACTCGACGCGACTTGTTGATGGCTGAAAGAGTGACCGGCATGGCGAGTTGAGCCTGATCAGGACATTCGAGACCAGTTGTATGACACCCAAAAAATTCAACTGCGCTTTCCATTGCCTTTCATTTCATCCCTCAGCCCGTTATATTCAGGAATCTTGTTAAATATCCTGCACTGTCTAGAAAGATTCTAAAAACATGTTACTTTTACGAATGCTCTTAATAGTTAAGTGTCTAGAGCTGTTTTTCTTGCCATTTGATGTGCAGGAATCAGCCGAAATATCTAACTTTTTTTTTTGAATAGGCGTGTGCTGTGATAGTACCCATTTGCGCAACACCCGTCAGGGAGGAACTAGAAGGAGATGGATGGCGAGCCGTAAGAGATTTAGAAGAGGGCGGGATAAGACGACGTATTCCGGGGCCGAGGAAAGGGGTTTTCGAAGGATCCGACCCGGAGAATCCATACCATGACGAGCCGGAGTTCACCGATTTAACATCTTTCGGCAATGAAGCATCCCGATCAGCGGGTCATAACCGTAATCAATTGACGCAGACCGACCGACCATCAAATACTGAACTGCTTTGGCATTACGGAAAACCAGTAATCGGTAACCTGGCAGCATCGGCCACCCTCATGAATTATTGGCCCGAGCTCTTTGGAACTCGTAAAGACTTATCTGTCTTTGTCTCTCCCGGCTTCTTCATCTCTATCGTACCTAGCATCTCTTGCTTTTTGATCAATCGCTTCCGTTATAACCGTGTATTAAAACGTTGGGATTGATAGTGGAGTGGCTGAAGTTTTCAAGCTTGTGTTAACTTCCGTGGTTTCTATTTCTTCTTTTAGAGTGTCTGTCTTGTCATTTATCCATTCTAATTTATAAACAAAAAAAAACTCATTTTCCCGCTGTAAATGAATCCATTGGGTCTTTTGCATGAAATGGTCTCAGATCCTCTTCTTTTTTTGATGGATGTCAAATTCTGATGTCCTTAGCCAATTAAACTGTGGCCCAAGATGTTCAAGTGGTGCTTTTCTCTTTGCAACTACTGCAATTGTGTAATTCCAATAAAAAGATATGAGCCAAGAATTGTTGACAGCTTGATATTATGGAAAATACAAAAGATCCACCAACTTTGTATGTAAGCAAAACATCAAAACAAAGCATCATCCATTCTCACTAATCTACAGAATAAAAAAAACTCTCTACTTAACACATTGCATTTTTCTTAAGAAAAACAAAGAAAACATGGCCAAGCGGCCTGGAAGTTTGCCAACTCCAACAAATCTTTTTACAAGCAGAGAAAAATCATCAAAAATGTTCAATTTGAGATTAATGGGGCACTTGGGGAAAAGAGTGATGAAGTAAATAAGCAGTGATAGTGAGAGCTCATGCAGGATATACACACTGGGTGGGTTTATCCTACAGACTCAATCTATTTTCTTGATCATGGCAGTACTTGTTTCCTTTCTCACTCCCACCCCACCCACCCAACAAAATGCTACCTAGCAATGTTTGTTTTTCTTTGTTATTCATGGTTAAGGATGAAAATCGGGCGGGCTCGGGCCGCCCGCGGGCCAGCCCAAGGCAGGCCGGAACATTGCCGGGCGGGTCGGGCCGGGCTGTATTCAAGAAATCAACAGCCCGACCCGAACCCGTTTACAAATCGGGCCGCCCGCGGGCCGATATAGAGAAGGGTTTTTGGGCTGTTAGCGGGCTGCACGCGGGCTTGGTTGCTGAGAAGTTGAGATTCTGGCGCCAGCACTCGCAGCGGCGGGGTCACAGACAGACGAGGAACTGGAGTTGGTTCGGAGCTCGGGATAAGCTAAGTTCTGGGGGGTCCTGGCACTCAGTCAGGTCCACTCGGAGTGCCAGGAGTCAGGACCCCCCACTACCGCACCGGCCCAACGGGCAGCCCGAGTAGACCCGACCTTTAATCAGGTCATCTCGGGCCGGGCCTAAGTAAAAAATTACAGGAAAAGCTTGGCCCAAACCCGGTCGGGCTCGGGCGGCCCGTTGGACACCCGGCCCAATTACCATCCTTATTCATGGTGGTGATGGAAGTGGTAAACCAAAGCTGATGAAAAAAAAAATCAGATATGTAAATCTGCGTAAAACAAAGGGGATGGAAGGGAAGGAGTTAATTGAGAAGGGGACACTGACACACAGGCCCAAACCCAAGAAAAGAGATTAGACATGAACGTAGGGATTTTTTTTTGGCTTCTTTTTTTTCTGTTGATTGTTTTTTCATTGTTCTATTGAAATTAAAGGATATGTGTGAGAAGGGAAAAAAAGTGAAACCATAAAAAAGAAAATAATGTAAACAGAAGAGGAGGTGACTGGAAGGGAAGGAGAAATACAGCAAGTTGAGAGAAACACAGAAAAAAAAAAATTAATCCCATTCATCATCGCTCTCCGCTTCCTCCTCACTATCTTCACCCATAGTGCCTTTCCGTTTATTAAGAGCAGCGGCCAATGATGCAGCAAGATTACCGCCACCGCCACTCGCTCCTCCTCCATCATGGGCATCATCCGATCCGGCCGATCGAGTGGATTGAGAGAGCGGATTGGTAGGGCCCGTGGAGTGTGTAGAGGCACCCTGAGGAGTCTATTTGTTCATGAGACATATCATTAGTTCTACGGACTGGCAGAAGAGGACAAAAATATTGAGAAGTGGGGCGCAATACCTTTTTCAGTACATGGATGCCCTTGCCTTGTATGCTCGACAGTAAGTTCGCTCTAGATCCATCCGAAACGGGTGATATGGAGGAGGAAGGTACTGGTGGGGGCGGCGGGGCATTACTGGGCGGTGGGAGTGGTGCTGGCGGTGCTGGTGGGGGTGGTGCATTAGGTGGTGGGGGTGGGGGTGCATGACTGGATGGTGGTGGAGGTGGTGGTGGAGCGGGTGGCGGTGGAGGTGCCATAGCTGGTGGCGGCGGTGCTGATGGTGGAGGAGGAGCCGACTTGACGGGTGCAGGTGGAGGAGGAGCGGTAGGAGGCGCAGGAGGGTTGCTGACGGGGGCAGATGGAGCAGGAGTGACTGGCATGGTTGGAGGAGGTCGAGAGGGGGCAGCAGAGGTGGGTGGGGCCCGGGAGGGAGCAGAAGGACTTTTCGTCATGGGCGCAGGAGTGGCTGGGTTGTGATTTTCATTCGATGTCCCAGTCCGACGTGTTGGGGCTGGTGGAGCTGGTGGCTTGACTCGCTTCGACGTGACCGGGTTGGCCGGTGGTACTCTCGTCGGGGGCGATGCCGATGTGTTATTATGTGAGCTTAGAACTTGATCAATCCCGCCTGCTTGATTGACATAGTCTTTGATAAACGATTCACTATTGTTTATCTCATCCTAAAAGTTATTAAAATCAGGGTGTTCTAGCATTAGTCTAGGGATGTTTTTTGTATTCAATTGTTAACATCAACTGAGCGAGAAGTTACCGACTTTGCTAAATCCCATGTTTGTCAGATTTGTTAGGAGTTGTGCCCAAGAGGGATCCACGTTTTCAGCCGTGAAACCAGCATTGGAGTCGTATCCCATGTGAGCTACTCGCTAAGTGAAACAGAGCAAGACAAAGCCGCAGGAATCAGGAAGTGTTTGGCTTGAGTTGTTAGCACGGATGATCAAACTGCTGCCTACTTTGAAGTCAGTGGGTGCGCTAATCATGCTTTTGTCTATCCCTCCCTTCTTCTTTCCACTGGGTGCAAGGACAGGACTAGGAGCTGATACTGGGGCTTCAACAGGCTTGACCTTGGCTGCACTTTTACCTAGATAAACAAGTTGCCAGGATCAGTTAATAGGCGCCCGAAGGGAAAGGGAAGAATTGGAAAGAAGGTTGCTTACTGATATGCTTTGATCGGTTGATGACCTTTTTGTGTATCGCTGAAGCCTCATCCTCATTGACAAAGACAAATGCAATCATACAGTCCTGGTTCAGATAATCAAGGCCGTAGCAACCAATGATTAGTTTAGAGACTTTTTTTTTTTGGAAATGAACTAGAAATAGACATACATCACCCTGGAAAGTGTGCCAAAATGTGCGTTCTTGATGATAACCAAAATGGCCATGACCAGGTCTACCCGGGCCGTCTTCGTATACCTCATGTTCCCAGATGGTACCCCGAGTTCCGGAGATGTCGATCAATTTAAACCAGAAGCTTCCAGCGATGCCTGAGCTTGGGCGTCCAAAGACCAGCGCGCCTGAAAGACCTGTGTAAGACCACCTAAATATTTGTTGTGGACAGAAATCATGATTTAGTTCCGAAAACTTCGGTATTTCAGATTTCACAAGTTGTCGGGGGCTGGTTGAGATTGATTGTGACTACACTTGTTGGGGTCCGGGTAGGCGTAATATATCCGACATAGTCCAGCAGCAAGAATCTTGTTGTGATCAGAGGGAAGCACATGTTTGATGATGGCCTTCTCACTGGCGGTAAAACTTGATGAAGAAGGCATCGGTGTGGTAAAACCTTTTTTTTTTTTTTTGAAGCTTGCCGATGGCTGATAAGTTGAGGGTGGTCGATTAGGAGGAAGCGTTGCGAACTAGTTGGCAAGCATTAAATAGTCGATCGGTGTTGTTGTGCGTGAGTTGACCGTCTTTGAAGTGACCAGGAAGGAGGAGGGGATGGCAAAAACTTTCAGGGATGGTCAACAGCATGGAACAGCCACTTACGTCAAGAGGTGCAGTTTGAAGGGTTCACAGGGTGTTCAGACCACTTTCACACGATCTCCGCCCGCCGGAGTTTGGAAAATAATGTGACAGGGTTTCCAACAAACACTGACAGATCATTCAACACAGGCACATCAACAAAAGCCTCCAAT